TAATCATGTTTTATTAATGCCAGCATTATAATATTTGCCTTTTACAGAGCTATCAGTGAACAAATACAAGGATTCGGGTATATGGTATTATCTAAATGCGGCAAAGGGTTTGATACCTAAGTTCTGGCATAGCTCAGAGGTGCCAAGAGAAGAGGATTGGGTGGAAAGAGTGAATCAGATATGTAGGAAAGAAAAACTGTATTATATGCAAGAAGACAAGATGGGGTTATATTATAGGAGGTGGTGGAAAGTGGGAAGACTTTGTGCCTAAGGTGAAATATATGAAGCAGTAGAGTGGGATATGTGAAAGTACCCCTTACTTAGGAAAAGATGTAATGGAGAATTGCAGAGTGGGTGGTTTTATTTTTTGGGGCAGGGGGGTAGGTCTTAGGGTGGGAGGGGGTATTAAATAGGAGGGGGGGGGGGGGTAATGGGAATAATGTTAGAAAGGGATATAAGTGATGGTTTTGTATGTTATATGAGATTAATGATGGAACATGTTTTTTATATGGAAAATGAATAAATATTTAAATAAAAAAAATATATATAATATTCGCCTTTTTTAAATTGCATTTACCTAATATACTTTAAACATATTCAGGAAATTGTTTTTAGAATATCTAAGATTAATCGGTCTGCATTGATTAGGAGTTAACGAATTGTTTTAACTCTGAATTATTTGAAAATTAGATTTTATCATTTTTTTTAGCAGGAATGTAGGGAAATGCAGTTCTGGCACCTCCACCACTAAACATATGTAATGAAAGGGTTCTGGAGGATCTATTAATGCTGGATGCTGGGTGGTCTATTGTTACTGGAGGGGATCTATTTTTGCATGGTGTTCTATTGTTGCGGCAGAGGTCCATTGTTGCTGATGGGGAATCTATTGTTGCTGGGGGTCAATTATTGCTTCAAGGGATCTACTGTTGAGTTTGGGGCTTATTGTTGCTGGCTGCTAGAGAGTCCATTGATGCTGGCTGCTGGGAAATCTGTTGCTGCTAACGGGGTCTATTGTTACTGGGGGTGGAATATATTGTTGCTAGGGGGATATATTGTTGTGGAGGGGGTCTATTGCTGCTAGCTGGAGGGGATCTATTTTACTACTTTTCTTGTTATCATTTATAAATTCCATACAAATTACTTAGCACAACAAAATGATATTTGGCTATGTATTTTCTAAAAGGGGAGGTCAGGACAGACCATTTGGAAACTCGGGCACTGCCCGAGGGCCCGGGGTCAGTAGGGGGCCCCATGAGATGCCCCTGGTACCTTTTTCATAGGCTTTTTTGAGTTTGGGCAAGGACACAGCGGCCCCATGATCCCCTATTGCCCGGGGGCCCCATGAGTTGTCAGTCCACCCATGGGGGAGGTACTGGGAGGTGGGTAGCTGGTGGAACTAAGGGATGGTGCTCAGAGGTAGGTAGGAGGCAGAGACTAGAAGCGACTCAGAAGGAGGGAGTTCTGGCACCCATTCTCTGAGAAAAAAAGCCCTGGATCTTAGCCATCTGCATTATATAAACTGGGAGTGGTCCATATTAATGATGTTTTCTTAACTGTTCAATGGGTTATGTCAGCTTACACTTTTTTTGTTTCTGTTAAAATGTAAGCTGTATAATATGAATGAATAGAAGATTAATTTCTATAACCATATTCTCTACAAAAAACAGAATCCATATTTTTAAGATCCATTGCAAAGCATTGTATTAATGTCCTTTCATGGTCACAGAACTGTTCCCTTGACCAGCTATAGCATTTCCACCATGACCTGTCTTCTCTATGTCACTATAAATGCTGTCTCATCTCTGACCTCCTTCTGTGACCAAATAGCCATCATGCCCTCAATATGTTTCAGCCTGAACTGCATCTTAATGAGGTGAATCACTATAGCAAAAAAAATATTTATAATAAAGACTTCTGGTGGATGTGACAAGCTTAATATGGTTGTGTATATAATATAATAATAATCTCAGACTGCTACAGCCGATGACTTTGTTCAAAGCAATAAGTTTTTTCCATTAGTGTTTTTAAATCAATGTTTTCATAGACCATATTTCTCAAAATGTCACCTATAATTTACGATCTTTACTGGTGGACAGTATCCCATTACAACCAGGAAAAATGTAGCTATATGCAGCTGGTAACATTAAAGCAAAAAAGTAATTAAATTAAACTGCATGCATGTGTAGGTAATGCACCTATCATTCATTCAATGCATTCTATCTGTCCGTTTTTCATTGTCTGTTGACAGATGAAAAACGGAGAGCAATGCATTCCTATGGGGAAACAGTTGTCACCTGTGTACACTAGGTTTTCAACCACTTCTGTTCAGGTCCATTTTTGTTAAACAGGACAAGTTTGCATTTTTGTTCTGTTTAAAAACTGTAAGAGGACGAAATCTCTTCCCTTCCAACTGTAAATGGATGGAAAATGGATGCAAATGGATGAAAAATGGATGTAAACAGGATGGAGCTAAACGGAAGATGGATGTTAACTGATGTAAGCCAAATCCATTTTTCTTAGCATAAATATGACTGAACAGGTGAATGCATTACAAATTCACTTTCCAAAGAAAATCCAATCGGATCCAAGGGAAATTAAAACAGTGTTGTAGCTTGCACATGATTGGATGATGGAAGTCAGCAGAGCCTCACCTTTTCCACTAAGATAAGGTAAAATTCCTTTAAAAGGATGGCTTTACTTTTAATATTCCTTTCATTGAGTGTTGTAAAGTACTTAAGCCAATAATATATGCCATGGCTTTTTACCGAGAGAACAATCCACAACATTGCTGCAATTGTCGGTGTGTCATACGAAACAGTCCAGGCAATTCTCACGTGTGATTTGAACATGTGCCGTGTTGCTGCCAAGTTTGTCCCCAGGCTTCTGACCCAGGAGCAGAAGGAACAACGCATTGAAGTCTGCCAAGAACTCCATCAGCGTGCCATGGATGACCAGTCCTTCATGTTGTGGATCATTACTGGTGTCAAAACATGGGTGGACAGGTTTCAGCAGAATTTCACGTTTGCTCTTTGTTCTAACTTGCTGTCCATGATGAAATAGCAGACGTGGTAGTGCACGTGGTCAGTGTAACTCAGTTGCACAACTCCTGATGTACACAACACAATGTCTTTTGGCACACTGACTTATGAAGATCGGTGCTCCCTGCGACTGTGCATGCAGCCTTGTGCTGCTATCTGTTGGCGTGTTACAAAACTTGTCTTGAAACTTTTTGATACCACCTAGTGAAGAAAGCTTAAAACAAACAAATAATACATATTTTCCTCTCTACTTACTAGTGCTAGCAGCATAAGGATTTAAAATTGTGCATGTACAATATATTTGTAAAGTGCTCCGTAAATTGATGGTGCTATATACGTACCTGAAATAAATAAATAAAATTGTCAATGTTAATTGAGAGAGTGAAGATCTGCTTTAAATATCACTAGAATAAGTACCAATACATTAGTATAAGCCTGTTATTTTTTTGCACAGCAGCACTAATATTGAGAGAGGGAAGGGTGGTAGGAACCAATCAGGTGTGCTGCTATGCACCTTACTAATAAAGATCATACTGACAAAGGAAGAGAATGATTATCTCATCAGTTCTCCGCTGCTCCTCCACTGTCCAATTACAGGCTGGGGGCAGGGAAGTGTCCAGGCTATAGTTCACAACTGCATTAGAGAAAAGTCAGGTTATCAACCTAGCTGTGTGCTCTGTCAGGGCTGGATAAATCTCAGGACTGCCTGGATAGAAATACAAATGCTTTAACAGGTAAATCATCTCATATAAGCATTTCAATGGTGTATTTGGCTGTTTGCCTGGAGTTAGCTTCAATATGATTGCTCAACTACACGCTCTAAAAATCTCATGTAAATCTAGCTCTACCATTTTTGAATAATCTAGAACTATCTATACAGGAACAGTGACCTTCTTCCATGAATCTAAGAACAAATGAGGTGTAGATAGATATATATATATATTTCCTTTAATTTCTTCTGTATTTTCTGTATTTCTCATTGTGTGTTAATATTTTGTAAATATTCCGACTTGTTCTGCAAAGAGTATTTTTAGCTACAGTCCTGTGCTTTCAGTAATTTTGATTTCACACAAAAGGGATCAGTGTGTTACAGAAGGGGATAATGTAAGCTTGAAAAGTGAAGAACAAAAGAATCTTCATAGCTGATGGAAAAAGTGAAAGCTTTTGACTGCGAGCCAAGTCTTATTCTGGTTTTAGGTCTTACAGTGATCAACCTACTGAAGAACTGTGAGAATTTAAACATCTATTTCACTCTATTTGTAAGGCTGGGCTATATAATTCTTAGAAGAAAAAAATAATTTTCTTTGATTTTTATTCATTTAAATGTTAAATTTCTTTATGCATACTTAGGTCTAACCCTGACATTCAAAAACTGATAATGTTGTCACAGCTGTCTGTATTCTCATAGATAGAAGTGTTTTTTGGAATGTTATATTTGATGTTGTCCCACTGCAGGGCACAGGTGGGTGGCACTGATGGGTACAGGTGGGCGGCACTGATGGGTACAGGTGGTGGCACTGATCGGCACAGGTGGGTGGCATTGATCATCAGGGCATTGATCATCAGTGCCAATCACTTCCCTGTGATAGCGTGAGGAAAGTGCAGCCGATAACCAGCAACTGTATTTACCTGGTGATCTGCTGTGTTATTGGACACAGCTGCTCAGGTGGTAAAAGTCCGCCGTGATTGGCCGTTTACCGTATCATGGGATCCGTAGGACACAGCGATCACCGGCGGCGCCGGGTGCACGCTGCTGGGGGAATGTTCTAGAATGATGTCCATGGACGTTGTCCCAGAACCAGACAACTGTGCTGTAGCAGTCCTTCAGCTATAGCGCGGTGGGCAACTGGTTAAAGTGTTACTAAATTCACAACAGTAAAATCAGTCTGTATATGCAGTAAAGCATGCTTGTTATACTCACTGTGGGACCTAAGAGGTTAATCCTCTGCATTGTATAAAAAAAGCCTTTCCTCTTTGTTCCCCCTTTTTTTTCAAGCAACCACCCCTTATCTCCTGATAAGACAGACTGAACCGTAGATATTTTGCACATGCTCAGTTTAGTGTGTATTGCTAGAGAGGTTTTTTTTTTTCTTGAGAGAGTGCATGTGATCAGCACAGGGCCAATCAGCACTGTCCAGACAGAGGTCAGGGGTTTTTCATCCTCCTAGAGCAGAAAGAAAACTCCTATAAGCTTTAGCCAGTGCTGGACTGGACACTGATAGAAGCCACAAGACTGCTCTAACTTCTGATGAGAAAAGGTATTTAGCAGTTTATATTTACTAAAATAATTGCATTTCCATGTTCTGTGTACTGTGGGAGACCAGATATAGTGGGTGCAGGGTCCTGGGTTTAGTAACACTTTAAAAAATGTTAAAAACTACTCTCCTGGCTGCCATCTCCCTCATCCTCCTCTGACTAGTCACGGCCATAATCAATAATAAACTCCATAAAAATGCTCCATTCACTTATCTAAATCTCCGGACACTTGACACTCCAGTATCACTTTGCTATCACATCACTGCCTTTGTAATCTGGACACTTTGGGGCTGATGTATTAAAACTGGAGAGTACAAAATCTGGTGCAGCTCTGCATAGAAACCAATCAGCTTCCAGGTTTTTTGTCAAAGCCTAATTGGCCGAGCTGAAGTTAGAAGCTGATTGGCTACTGTGCACAGCTGCACCAGATTTTGCACTCTAAAGTATTAGTAAATCAACCCCGTTTGTTTGGCTGTTTAATGACAGGGTCCTCTCAAGATGCGATGACGTCAACGTCAATGGTGGAGAACGGCCAGTGTGGGCACATCTACAGCTCTGGATTTCTGGTCCCCTGCACCCAGAAAAGACACAGATAAAAGGCAGAGATGGAGGGCCTAGATGACCATAGAATTTCTTCACCAGGTATTTCAATTGGAAGAAATGCTACAGGGTTGAGATGGGGGTGGGAGGGAAGAGGGAGATTTTTTTGCCTAGAGAAGGCTTTTATTAAAAGTTTTTTAAGGTCTTTACATTTTAATCTGGTCATCAGTGTTCCAAAATGTTTTTTATATTATATTTTTTGTGCCTAATTTTATAGGTACTGCAAGGTGCACCTGCTTGCCATTACACCTGGCTACTTGTCTAGATGCATCAATGAAAGGCCAACAATTACCCTCCAAGAACATTCTCTTCTTTGTTTGTTATCATTTTGTTGCACACACTCTCTAGCATTCAGCAAAAACGAATGCACACAGCCCAGCTTGCATTACACAATCACCAGAAGAATGTACATGACTTAGCATCTTATTGGTACTGTATGTGCAAAACATTCTTGAATGAGGGGCCAATGTATGCACAAAGTGCTATTTTATTCATGTACACCCATTTGCACTTTGTTTTAGTAAAAAATTGGCCCAATTGGCAGACAATTATTAGGCGCCATAATAATAATTTACAATTCACTCACAAGATTTGGAAGCGTGGAATGAAAAATTCATGAAACGTTCTGATCTCAGGGGGCTGGGAAAATATGTCAGTACTGTACAGTTATCATACAGTTGTATCTGTTGCTTCATACATCTGTTCTAAGCCGTGACTTCCAAAAACAGCAAAGTCTGTGGCCACTGTGGGTTGTGGTTTTCAGGTACTGGGTAACAGAGATGAGTTTACACGTGTCCAATTAATTTATAAATGTTTATAACAATCAAAATAAAAAATGTTTTAATTTAATTGGATGATTAAGATCACAGATTTATGGATTATTGGGGAACTTTTTTTAGCTGATCACCTTAAATTAAAAATATACCTAGTGACACTAAACTCACAAATTTTACATCAGTCATTCTAACATACAGTATCAAGTATACCACAGCTCTATTTTTTTTTTAAGTCTCTTACCATTGTTTTTAGGCTTCTTTTTTGCATGTCCGTGTTCCCAATTCTCCGTTGATGCACTTCACTGTTACTAGTGTAGAGCAAGCAGTACCGTTATTTCTGATCACATGATCCGCACTATGCGTCCTACAATTTCCAAATCGCTGAATAAGTCTGCACGTGAATGTTTAGTCTGTCTCAGGGGCAAGCAGAAAAGGGTAGCTGCTTTCACATACACAAGGGGGGAAACGAAGAACGAACGTAACCGCCCAAGAACAGGAAGTCTGAGAATAGCAGAAAAAAAGCTTGCATCTGAGAGATGAAGCAAAGGAAAAAAGATATGAAAGATAAATGCTGTTTATTTTTATAATTGTGTTTATTTAAAAAAAACACGAGTTTAGTGTCACTTTGAATGTCTGCTAAACACAATCTGTATCCACATGGCCAGGCACCCTTTTTCTACCAACGTATTTTTATGGTGTCTACATGTCTTCAGCTGCTATCCATTTCAATATCTGTTTGTATGCAAACAGCCCTGCTTGTCCTAGGTATGGTTCTGAAACATGTAACTACCATGATGTAGTAAGAGCTTAGATGAATTGAGACAGTAAACTTATTTAGGGTATTATAAGCTTTAGATGATAATTTATGAACCATGTCACTTCTGGCAGCAAATGTGATACTGAAGTGTAACTTCAGCCAAACAGCTAAGTATACAGTACAAAAACATACAGTATAATTACTGTTTACCTTCGAGAGAATTTGTAGTTTTGGCCAAGGATCCTGTGATATGTACACCTCTGATGTCAGAATGACACCCTGTTATTTCCTAATATACCATTACCAGAGGGATGATGATGCCAATTCATTGTCTACTGATCAGGCCGAAGGTTGAGAATTTACAGTCAGAAAGCTAAACCAAAATGCTAACTTGCAAGAGAGTGTAAAGCTTGTCATAAATATGCGGGCTGGGTGAAAGAAATCAGAAACAGATTCTTCCATTCACACCACTTGCAGTCCATTGCATTTTTTTCTGCATCAAAAACACATTGATAGTAGGTCATATGGTTTCCAATGGCAGAGTTCACACCAGTGCAGTCAGTTTCAGTGCGTTCTAGTTCCAGAAAAAAAGTAGAACATGCTGCATTAGTTTTGGCCAAGGATCCTGTGATATGCACACCTCTGATGTCAGAATGACACCCTGTTATTTCCTAATATACCATTACCAGAGGGATGATGATGATGCCAATTCATTGTCTACTGATCAGGCCGAAGGTTGAGAATTTACAGTCAGAAAGCTAAACCAAAATGCTAACTTGCAAGAGAGTGTAAAGCTTGTCATAAATATGCGGCTGGGTGAAAGGAATCAGAAACAGATTCTTCCATTCACACCGCTTGCAGTCCATTGCATTTTTTACTGCATCAAAAACACATTGATAGTAGGTCATATGGTTTCCAATGGCAGAGCTCACACCAGTGCAGTCAGTTTCAGTGCGTTCTAGTTCCAGAAAAAAAGTAGAACATGCTGCATTTTTTTTCTGCACTGAACTGTACTGGAACATGGTAAAAAGCATCAAAAATATACCAGAAGGCACCTAAACACACCAGAACACACATGTTCTTATTTAACCACTTCAGTACCGTACACTTTCACCCCCTTCCTGCCCAGACCAATTTTCAGCTTTCAGCATTGTCACACTTTGAATGACAATTGTGCCATCATGCAACACTGCACACAAACCAAATTTTTATCTTTTTTTTTAGACAGATAGAGCTCTTTTTGTGGTATTTAATCACCACTGGGTTTCCATTTTTTGCTAAACAAAGGAGAAAATCTGAAAAATGTGAAAAAAAAGTTTTTCTTAGTTTCTGTTATAAAATTTAGCAAATAAGTAATTTTTCTTCTTCACTGATGTGCACTGATGAGGCTGCACTGATGGGCACCGATAGGCTGCTCTGATGGGCACTTATGAGGCTGCACTGATAGGGACTGATGGGGCTGCACTGATGAGGCTGCATTGATGAGGTGGCACTGATGGGCACTGATGAGCTGCACTGATGAGGAGGTACTCATGGGTAGTGATAGGCGGCACTGATAGACAGCACTGATGGGCACTGATAAGCCGCACTGATGGCCACTGACAGAGGCAGTGTGTGAAGAAAGGACTGCCGATAACTAGCAAGTCTGTTTACATGTGACCAGCTGTGATTGGACACATCTAGTCACATGGTAAAGGGCCACTGTGATTGGCCCTTTACCATGATCTGTGATCAGCAGGGGGCATGCAGGAGGCATGTTTGGGGAGGATGTCTGTGGTCGCCCTCCCAGCCCTGGAGAACCGCGCTGTAGCTGTCCTTTGGCCGTAGTGCGGTTGGGAACTGGTTAAGGTGAAGAAAAGAAAAAAAGAGGGGAAAAATGCACCGTAATACATAATAAAACAAGCATGCAGACTGTGTTTCTATGGTGTGAACTGGCCCTAACAGTGTGAATGGACAAATTGCTCCTGGGGAGCTATTGTAAACAATGCCTGCATCTGACTGCACTGCTGAACAGACCAGTGGCAGCAGAGCAAAACATTGCTTGAATTTTACCCAGCCAGCAAGTGTTGGCCAAAATCTGAGCAGTGTATGGCTAGCTTAGGTGTGTCATCTGTCTATGTGTGCATTGTCTGAAGACCTGTGAAAATACCAAGATTGGCTAACTAAAAATACTTTCAACTTTGTATTTTGCTGTTCTAACAGTTCTGTTTTAGTAGAGGCTGTGACAAATGAAGGAGCAGTGGTGGATTGCTGGAGAGGTTAATATCAGCAGGTCAACTGACAGTTTTATACAGACAGGGTCACTTTGCCCTCAATGGACAAAGTTATGTTGTCTCTTTAGGGGACAGAACAATAGATGTCCAGGGAAAAAAAACAAATCTGAAAATTTAATTTATTTGCCAGTTTAAAAGGCCAAATAATTTTATACAAATGTACCAAAGAAAAGCAATTAATTCAGCGTACTGTCAGTTAAAATATACTGCCATAAATATGCTCATAAATAAACTAGTCAATTCAGTAAATTTACCTTTACTGTGCCTTTCACAGGGTATTTGCTATGCAAACGAAATGCGTAGCTAAATGTTGGTTTTATACATCAGCATAATATTATTTTCAAATGCACTAAAACAACGATTTTCCGAGGGCTGTCTTTAATATTGATAAGTCCCTGGGCAAACATTTTCTTGGGCCCCCCCTCTCCCCCATGCAATTTCACTCTCCATCCCAACATCCCAAAAAAACTAACATACACATAGACTTATCTAAAAAAAAAGTTTAAAAATGTAAACTCTAACGAGCAGGGCCTTCTGTTTCCTCTTGTACCAAATTGTATTGTAACTGGCTAACTAAAAATACTACCTTCATTTTATATAGCACTGTATAATCCTTATATA